TGCATTGAATCTATATAGCAGTTTTGGAAGTATGGCCATTTTCACTATATTAATCCTTCCTACCCAGGAGCAGGGGATGTCTGTCCATTTTCTGATAACTAGATCCAATTTTTAACAGAATTTCTTTGCAATTAAAATTTTGCCCATAAAAAAATGTGGAAAAAAGTGATTACTGAAAAATAGCTAATGTAAAAAAGGTAGGGGTGCAGAAAACTGGTCCAAATCTTTTTTCCTCAAATCAAGACATGGTGATAGAGCTATCAAAAAACGTTAAGCAAAAAAAAATGAGGTAAGGAGAACTTCACAAGGTAGTGGATTAATTTTAAATAGGGAGGCCAGGGAAAGTCTCCTCCACAGGTTGATTTGAAACAAAATGTCATGAAGCTTGCTGCTGTCTGGTCCTGGAGTATTAGTGGGAAACAAGTACAGATGGCCAGGGTCCGAAGCAAGTCCAGAGCTCACAAGGCTCCGGCAGGGGCTGTGCTGCTGAAGCAGCATGGGCAGGAGGAAGGCAGCAGGAGAGGCTGGCATGCAGGTCAGAGGCCGTGAGCAGCTCTGTCCTGAGGGAGATGGGAGTCACTGCAGGATAGGACTTGTTTCTAATACAGATTTTTACACATATCTAAGTAATAAACATAATCCACATAAAAACAAAGAAACATCAACCCCATCTTGGCCCATCTGGCCACTTGGAGACCTTACAGAGTTAAACTTAGCTGATTACATTTCTTTCAAAATATAATTCCAGTTGCCACTTTAAAAACTTTTAAAAACTCATTTTCAATGCTTTGGAACATTTAAAATATTTTCTATTTACATAAATACCAACAATTAGAAACTTTCTAATCATTTTGAAAATGTCCTACCTGAATCCTCATTTGCAGCCTCTCTGACTTCTTTCCTAATTTCAATGTACTTTTTTTTTCTTTCCATGGGAACCTATTAGGCAAAGCAAATACACCATTTAAAATACGTTCGCCCAGCACCTGGAAGGAAGCTCCCCACCTCCATCCCAGGCTCCTAGGGCAGAGAAGCTCAGCAGGTCCTAGAACCCGGAAGGAAGCTCCCTGGCTGCCATCCCAAGCTCCTAGGGCAGAGAAGGTGAGCCGCGTGGGCACCAGAAGCACCCCCTCCCATGGAAATGAGAAGACACGTAAACAAGTCTCAAAAACAGACTTCTGGATCACCTACAGCAACCCCAAAGGGAAATGAGATGGAACAATCTGATACTCAACCACCTGGACTCTCTGAATTGGCAATAAAATATGTTCAAGTCATGGTCGTGCTTTTTGTTTTAGTAACAACCCGGCAAAACCAAATTACTAATTTCTTTAAAAACTTATCAAATTTTAAACAATTCAAAAATATCTACTACATATGTGTGTGTACCATAGAATGTAAAAGTAAATATAAATATGAATTAAAGGTGTATTACATACTTTGGTGTCCCTTATGAAAAGCTTTCTGGGATATGACTAGTGGCTTCTTGTACCGGCACTGTCTTTCCTTCACAAGTCAAGAGAAGGAAAAATCCAATTCTGATGAGTTTCCTTGTAGCTGCTTGAGATTTTAACTCAAACTGAAAATAGGTTTTGTAATTGCCAGTTTATAGAAATAGCATAAAATTGCTAGTTTTTTTGGTTGAAAGTAGATTTGAATACTTCACATGTTCAATATAATACATGTTTTTCTCTAAGAGCACTTGGTGTTTTTTGCTTTTTTTTTGATACCGGGGATTGAACTCGGACCTTGTGCTTGCAAGGCAGGTGGCGGAACCACTGAGCTAAATCCCCAGCCCGGCACTTGGTGTTTTCAACTTACAAGTAAAATTAAACATTTCACTCACCTCAACTTCTATGGGAAACATATAGCAGCGATTCAGGTCTATCAGATTTTCAAAAATAAGTAAGTTCTATAAATAAAAAATCACAGAAAATATTTGAATGGCAGAGGTCCTTGTTTTGTTTGTTTTTGTTTTGTTTTGTGGTACTGGGGACTGACCCCAAAGCTTTTGCACCAAGGTACATCACCATCCCCCTTTAAAATTTTTTATTTTGAGACTGGGTCTTACTAAGTTGATAAGCTGCCCAGGCTGGGCTTGAACTTAAATCCTCCTGCCTCAGCCTCCCAGAGTGCTGTGATTACAGGTGTTCTAGATCCTTATTGTTGATGCTAACTATGGAATTAATTCTACCTAATAACTTATATATAAACATATTAGCTTTAAAATATATTTGTGCAGAACTAAAAAAAATCTAACATTATAAGAAGGTACAAATTACATAACTTCAATTTACATAATCTAATTTTTGAAATCCTACCATGACAGCAGTAGTGAACACTTCTGGAGAGACCTACCTTTTCTGGCTTTTCACTAAACAGAAAACCCTGGTAAAATTTTAATTCATTGAAAACACAGCAGATAACAGAAATGGCACAGTTATATGCAGCACAATGATAAAGTCTTCTCCTTTCCAGTAACTGGTTCTCTCCTGCCATGTTCTCTGTAAATGCATCGTGGCACAACCTGCAGAACAGACCAAGTTTACAAATAATGTAATTAATTATAATTAATGTGATGTACTTGATATGGAAATCAATGCTTGAACAGGTATGGTGGCACACCAGTACTCTGGGAGGCTAAGGCAGGAGAATCACAAGTTAAAGCCCAGCCTGGACAATTTAGCAAGACCTTGTCTCAAAATAAAAGGCTGGAGATATAGCTCAGTGTGAAGGCCCTGGGTTCAATCCCCAGTTCTGAAAAAGAAAACAGAAAAGAAAAATTGATGCCTGAGCTCAGCAATGCCAGACAATAGAATCTAATTCAGGTCAACCTCTCGAGTGTCAGTTTTATGCCAAGCATAGCACTGGGCACTGGGATATAAAGACGGGCATGTCACCATCTCACAGCACAGACCACAAATATGGATCTCAGCACAGAGTGTTAAGCATAGCTACAAGTACAAGAAGTAACGAGAGAGAAGCAAGGACGACAGAGCAGTCTAATCTAAGGAGCTTAGAACAAAAGATTTAAGAGAAAATGTCAGAGTTGAATTGTTCACTGTCTTTGAAAGACAAGGTCTGCCTGTTTTCTGGCCTGGCTTTGAAGTCCTAGACTCAAGTGATCCCCCTGCCTCAGTCTCCTTAACAGATGAGAAATACACCACAGTGCCCAACTTGAGTGAGTTTTAAAATAAAGAGTTTGCCAGAATAGATATGTACACAGGCATTATGAGCAGAGAAGAGAATCATCCAGAACATAGGATGAACTGGGTGTGTTTTGGGAGGCGGTGGAAGCAATAGTGGCTGGCAGCAAGTGAGAGGAAGGTTCTTGGCAGAACTTGCCCATCATGCTCAGGGGCGGGGACTTCATCCTGCAGGACAGGATCAACAAACTATACTTAATAGCCAATTACTTCTCAAACAAGTTTTCTTGGAACATAGCCATGTGCATTCACACAGGCTTTATTTATGGCTTACTCGAAGTACAATGTTGTAGTTGTGACAGATTATATGGCTCACAAACCAAAAAAATATTTGGCCCTTTACAGAAAAACTTTGTCCACCCCTGTTACTGAAGTCCAGGTGTCATTGAAGGGCTATGGGCAAAAAAGATGAAAATATCAGACTCAGACTTCAGCTGCATTATCATTCTGGCAGCAGTAGGGACATGGAAAAGAGGTTAAGCCTATGAACAGAGAGAATTCTAAAGGACATTCGTGTAACGGCTCACAAAGAAGTCCCATGCTAGAACAACCAGGGGAAGGGGAATAGAAACTGGTTTCAGGAACACTGAAAGGATAAAATCTAGCAAATTGGTAACTGACAGGGTATTAGCAGAGGTTGGAGAAATACAGATGAAGGAAGAATGAACTTTGATTCCCAAGTCTCTTGTGCATTAGGCAATGAGAGGAAAGAAAGTGACATCATTCACTAGGACAAGGTCAAGTACGGACAAGGTCAAGTACGGACTAGGGTAAGAGAAGAGTAATGATGAGTTTGGAGACAAAAATGACACAGGAAAGTCTATCTTACTTGGAAGAACTTCATTAGAAGACTGGTTTTAGAGAAAACTGATTAATCTGTGTTTTATAAAATACCTGTTAAAAATACCATTTTAAAAATTTCAAATGATAGGAAAAATAAAATTGGTTCTTATTATAAATCACACTGGTACAAATATATCAAGACAATCAGGGGGAAAAAGTGGTAGGAAAAAACAGTGAAAGAAATTAAAGAGTTTTATTCTTTACAAAAGATAAATATGGGATAAAACGTCTTTGTCCAATAACACACTAAAGTCAATCTAAGAAGTTTGTATATGAGAAAAAAAGAAACTATAAAAGTTCAGTTTTGGGCCGGGGATGTAGCTCAGTGGTTCCAGTGCCTGTTTCAAAAGTGCAACGTCCCGAGTTCAATCCCCGGTACCAAAAAAAAAAAAGTTCAGTTTTTAAGTAAAACATATATTCACATTATACAAATGTATAAAAGTATATGTACCAAAAGTATTAACAAATTAAATAAGGTAAAAATAAGTAAAATCTTACTTAACAAGTGTCTTTGTAAGCTCATTTCCTTCTGTAACACAGGAGCCATGGAAAACTTGATTAATTTTAGATTCCTTAGAGTGAACATCATCTTTTGAAAGGCGAGAATACATCACTTCTAGCACCTTGTAATAGCCCATCTTCTTGGTGATTTGAGTGTCAAAGGTAGATTCGTTTAGCTTTGAAAAGGTAACAAATAGTTGTCATTAGTCTTACTAAGCATGGAAAATATCTTACTCAATATATCAAGTTTAATACTTAGTGTTCTTTAGATCAGAAATAATCTTAAAAAAGAAGCTAAATCACTTCAAAAGGAGAGTGCCCTATTGTTTAGGGTTTCCAATCCAACATGGATTTATCATATATAAAGGTGAAACAAAAATAACACCTGATGGGGGAGTAGACGGGAAGGGGAAACTAATAAGAATTGAGATGTGTTATGTACATGTACCAACTCCCCATGGTGAATGTAATCATTATGCACTGCAAATATGTACTAAAAACAAAAAAACAAAAATAAAAACCACGTGATATCCGAACAGTAAGCCCTGAGTATGCAACATTTGTACAAAGTCTTACTGAAGGCATAGGAACAGCAAGTGAAAATTCAACATACTAAAACACAAATTTTTCAACTCTTTTGAATGTTACATTAACACTGTGCCATTTGGATATTTATGCTATCTCTCAACAGGATTCTGTGGGAGGCTGAATTATACTCTCATTTCAGTCCACAAAAGACATCCAAAAGATGTCCTACTCCCTAGAACTGGTGAATGTAACCTCCTCATACAGTGAAAAGGGACTCTGAAGACTTAAGTTAAAGACCTTCAGATGGGGAGATTGTTTTTGATTGTTCAGGTAGGCTCTAAAGGAAATCACATGTAACCTTAGGTACAGGGAGATTAGATAAAAGGAAAGGGCAATGTGACAAGGAAGGCAGAGATGGGAGCAGTCTAGGTACAACCCAGGAATGCTGCAGCCACTTGAGGCTAGAAGAAAGGCTATTCCAAGAGACGAGGAGTGTGGCCTGACAACAGTATGATTTTTGGACCAGCGTAACTAATTGTAGATTTCTGGCCTCCAGAACTGGGAGAGAATAAATGTCTGTTGTTCTAAGCCGTCAGGTTAGCAGTAAGTTGTTACAGTGGCCACAGGAAACTAGTACAGATCCATATTGCCACAGATTGTTAGCAAATGCAGAGGGAAAGGTCTCTGAGGCAAGAGCTCACTTGACTGAACACATGGCAGATTCTAATGACACTGGACATGGAGTTCTACTGATTCTTATTAACACTGAGTTTAACATGATGCACGATACCTTTGTAAACCTGGACTTCAACGTGTCAATGGCATCCACCACAATTTTGCTGAAGAATTCTCTTAGGGCATCCAGGCTGCAGTGCCACAACAGGGTGAGGAGACAGCGATCTACAAATGCTTGGCGAGTCATATTTGAAAGTAGATCATTTCTCCTGAACATTCTGTACACACTTTCCAGAAGGTCTGATTGTGTGACACATGAACTCCTAAAAAAAAGAGATAAAATTATATGCCTGGTGTAGTGGCACACATCTGTAAATCTAACACTCAGGGACGCTGAGGCAGGAGGATTGCAAGCCTGGGAAATTCAGTGACTTTGTGAGACCCTGCCTCAAAATAAAAAAATAAAAAAGGTAGGGCTGTAGCTCAGTGTGAATGCCCTGGGTTCCATCCTCAATAAGATACACACACATACACACACACACACACACACACACACACACAAACACACACTAAATTACACGAACATTCATTCTGTGAATAAATATTCTGAGTATCTCTTACATGATAGGCAGCATAAACTCCAATTATTATGAATTACAAAATAATTTAAAAGAGTAGATAAATGAAACCTATCAAGACAAAAATCATTTGCACACAAATTACATTGTTTTGTTCATTCCCAGAAATCTTCAAAACCAAATTAGGTATTAGGAGAATTTTTCATTTACTCCCAAATCTAGTTTTGCTTAAGAACACTGGAAAGGCTTTGAAAGTCTCAGGGCTACAAATGTTCACATTTTGAGGATCTGAAACTCACAAGTTAAGATTTAAAATATTCTAGTCTCTCCCTACTAATCAACTATCATGCTTATTTCTGAAGCAGAGCTACATCCTTCTATTTGGTCCTTTCTCACCTGAAAAATAAATAATCAGCAGTAAAATTCTGTCTATACATCTATAAATTAAGAATACATGGGCTGGGGATTTAGCTCAGTGGTTCTGCGGTCTGCCTCGAAAGCACAAGGTCCCGAGTTCAATCCCCGGTACCAAAAAAAAAAAAAAAAAAAAGAATACAGCTGGCCATGGTGGCATGTGCCTATAATGGCAGTACTCAAGAGGCAAGATTCCAACTTGAAGGCCAGCCTGGGATACACAGCAAGTTCAAGGCCAGCACAGACCACACAGTGAGCTTGTTTAAAAAAAAAAAAAAGAACAAGAAAAAAAGAAAAAGCAAAAACAAGAAAGGAATACAGAATTAAATTTCCTTACTTATTAAAACAGAGTGTTAGAACACAATGATCATTAAAATGCTGATGCTCTGAACTTATATGTTAACCAGGGTAAAATATGATACACAGAAGGTATTTGAGTAAAAGTTTTAAGGTTGTGAGATGCTACTATATGCCACACAAGCTTTTTAATATTCAATGGGTACTACAGTGGACCCAATGGTTATGCCCCTCCCAAATCCTTATGTTGACATCCTCACCCTAAGGCAAGGGTATTGGTAGGTGAGGCCTCTGGGAGTTCATAGGTTATGAGGGTCCCGAGGGAATTGGTACCCTTATAAAAAAGGCCTCAGGGCACTCCTTCCCCCTTCTAACATGTGAGAGCACAGCAAAATGGCACCTCTATGGCAAAAAGACCTCTGCCAGATATGGAATCTGTTGGCACCCTGATTTTAAACTTCCAGCTTCCAGAACTAAAAAAAAAAAATTATGTTTATAAGTCTGTAGTATTTTGTTACAGTAGCCCAAACTAAGACATGCATAATCTTTTCTTTAATTTACCTCAAAATTTTACTGGCAAAATACAAAAATCATGTCAGCACATGGCTATTCACTGTGACATTCACTTCTTAATAGTAAAAGACTGAATCCAAAGTTCCTCAGTGGAAGTGGAACACTTCTTCAAAATACAATGATACTTCCACACAATAAAGAATTATATACTTGTTTAAATAAAAAGCAAAAGGGAAACTACCAAATTTTCCTCTATCTGTTTAAGTGACTACTGGCTTTGGTCCTTTATTCTATCAATAATGATGTCTAATATTAATTGCTTTCCAGATGTTAAGTCATTGTGGCATTCCTATAATACATTTCAACTGGTTATGACATATAATCTTTTTCACATGTTGGATTTGGCTTGGTAACATATTTGGGGAATTTTTGTGTCTATACTCATGAGGAATACTAGTCTGTAGTTTTCTTCTGATGATGTCTTTTTCTGGCTTTGGTAACAGGGTGCTTCTGTCCTCACAGGAGTTGGAAAGTATCCTTCCTCTGTTTCCTGAAGAATTTATGAAGTATTGCTATTTCTTCTTTAAATACTTTAAATATTTGATAAACATCACTAGTAAAGGTATCTGGATCTGGGCTTTCCTCTGTGAAAAGATTTTTAACAATTCGGTATATTCAAATTTTTAAATTTCATGTAGAGTCAGTTTTGGTGACTTTCTAGGAATTTGTCCATTTCACTTAACTGTATCTATTGAAATGATAACTGGCTTTGGTCCTTTATACTATCGATAATGATGTCTAAAAACTTTTGATATAATATTGTTATAATGTTCCCTTATAGTCTTTTTAACTTCTGAGAAGTCAGTAGTAATGGCTTCTCTTTCATTCTAGATTATCATAAAATATTTTTCCTTTATTATTGGTCTAACAATTTGTCAATGTCATTAATCATTTCAAAAAATAACCTAGTTCCATTGATTTTTTTCCACCATTTCCCTATTTATAATGTTAATTTTCATTCTAATCTTTATGTTCCCCTTCTTTCAGCTAACCTTTTAGTTTTTTCCAAATGTTAAAGTAGAAATTTCACATTTTTTTTTGTTTAAATTTTTTATTATTGCTGTTGATTTGTTTTGTTTGAGACAGAGTCCAAGTTGTCCTTGAACTCATTATATACCCCAGGCTGGCCTCAAACTCTTGATTCTCCTGCTTCGGCCTCCCAAGCGCTATAAATAGCAATCTTATATTCTGAAACAGGCATTAAGATATAGTTCCTCCTCTAAGCATTACTTTAGCTACATCTCATCCATCTGGGTATGCTTTATTCTTATTTTGTTTACAGCAAAGTACTATTTGACTTCTCTTGCAATTTCTTCTTTGACTCAAAGATTACTTAAAAATGTGGTATAAGTCAGTTGGTTATTTAGAAGTCCCCAAATTTTCTTCTAATGTTGATTTCTAATTGAGTATTACTGCGGTCAGAAAACATATTTTGTATTGCTTCAATCTTATTTTTTTATTTAAAATTTTTTTATTAGTACATATTTATAGTATATAACGATTACATTGGCTTGGTACAGGTACATAACACATCTTAATTCCTTTTACTTTCCCTTCTCTTCCCCTCCATCTTTTTAAAAGTATTAAGACTTGTTTTATGGCCTAGTACTCTCCTCAGCTCCCTTGATCTCTCTCTGCTTCCTGCACACCATGATGAGAGCAGCTAATCCTATGCCACGCTGGAGCCACCATGGACTGAAACCTCTACAAACTATGAGGCAAAATAAACTTCTCCTCCTTTAAGTTGTGAGTTCTGGGTATTGTGTCTCAGTGATGTGGAAACTGACTAAGACAATCTGTCTGTAAGAAAGTTTCATGTGTGCTCAAAATGAATGTGTGGGCCAGGCATGGTGGCATATGCCTGTAATCCTAGAACTTGCAAGGCTGAGGGAGGAAGATTGCCACAAGTTTAAGGTCAGCCTGGGTTACATAGTGAGTTAAAGACCAGCCTGGACTACACAGTTTCAAAAAACTAAAAAACAAAACAAAAATGAATATGTGTTCTGTTATGCAGAATGTTATATAGTTGGTTAATTACAGTATGATATTTTTAAAAGTGTCAATAGAAAGGAATAAAGTAATTTATGCTACATCATGGATGAGCCTCAATAAAGAAGACTGAATAAAGAACCCATACATAAAAGATCACAGGATTCCATTTATAGGAAATGTTTAGAAAAGGCAAATTTATAATGACAGAAAGGTACACTAAAATTTTTTTTTTTTGGTGCTGGAGATCGAACTTGGGTCCTTGGCTTGTGAGGCAGGTGGCAGAACCACTGAGCTAAATCCCCGGCACATTAAAATTTTTTAAAAGTAAATTAGTAGTTGCTTGGGCTGAGTGTGAGAGTGAGAGTCAATTGTAAAAGGTCATGTAGATCTTATTAAAGTATAAAAATATCCTATATTAATGGTTGCACCACTCTGTACAAAGTTCCTAAAAATCATTCAGTTCTATACTTAAAATAGTTAATTCTATGATATGCAAAATGAAACTCTAAAATAAATTTAGAGATATTTATAAATTCAATATAAATAAATGCCAATTTAAAAAATTCATTAAAAGTTTACAATTAGAAGTAGCTATGCCATCAAGCCCTTACTTTAAAAATTCATAATCAAGTATATCCCATTCTCCCACTGCATTTTTCTAAGATAGTAAATTATATTTTAGGTAACCAAACTGTCCTAATGATGAGCACAATTTCTTCATCACAGTGTAATTCCAACTACTACATTTAAAAGGGATTAAAATCAGAAAAATGGTTATTCACAACTCCTAATAAAATAACTGATTGAGGGCAACTAATATAAATAGATGCTAAAACCATTAGGAAAATGCTCTAAAGAATGTGGCTGGCCAACTTTAGAATCACTAAAAGCAGGACAACCAGACAACAGGTGTCTCTTAATGGTCTGAAGAACGTAACTAGTGAGCACTCTTGCCAAAATGTGAACCTGAATCAAACTGAGCTCTTAGACTTAACTCTCCATGACAGGAAACAAGGACTGGAGGAACAAGTTAAATAAAAGAACCAGGAAAGATGAAGATATTGTACAGATAAATCCAGATGAAAGACAGTGTACAGGACAAGTGTCCAGGCTTTTTCAATTACAAAAGAAAAATTAATGTAGGAGGACTGCTCTAGATGAAGCCAGATTTAGGAGACATGACTGTAAAAGGATCTAATCTGGATCAAAATTCAAATATCCAACAGTATAAGAGCATGTGAGATCACAAGTCAGAATATGGATTTACTGGTAATCTTGTTCAGATGATGACAGTACTGAAGCTATCTAAGAAAAAGAGCAGGTTTTGGAGATCAAAGCTAAAGAACTCAGAATTAACAATGTGACAAATATTTGCTTTAAATTACATCAGTGAAAGAGAAAAGCTGAAGGGAGGACTAAAGCTGGGAAATTGTTGATTATCTGAAGTCCTATGCATACTTTTTCTTTAGCTCTAAGCATGTGTTTGTAAAAACTTTCATAATAAAAATTTATTTTTAAGAAAAAGTAAATAACATGTAATGGTGAGAGTTGCCAGTCAACATTTTGTAGAACAGAGAAGATACTTTCCCTCAGAAGTAACATGTTACCACTCCTGGGCATTCAGTAAAATGACTTACCTTCTGGCAATCCTTTTGAAAGTAGTCTGAAATAATTCTTCTATAACATGTTGCTGTTCCCGACAAAGAATTTCAGTCATCAATTGTAATAATATAGGACTTTCAGATAATTCCAATGCATCTAGAAACTAGAATACATAATCAGCATCATCAAAATTTTTTGACTTATATTTTTATTTTGTTTTTAACAATTCTAATTTAAAAAACTGAGAAGGAGGGTGGGGGATTTAGCTCATTGGCACCGCATCCGCATTGCAAGTGGAAGGTCCAGAGTTTGATGCCCGGTACCAAAAAAAGAAAAAAAAAAAACTGAGGAGGAAATGGAATTCTACATAACATTTTAAAATGCCATTTTTTGTTTGTTTGTTTGTTTGGTTTTTTTTCGGTGCCGGGGATCGAACTCGGGTCCTTGAGCTTGCCCAGCAGGCGGCGAAACCACTGAGCTAAATCCCCGGCCCTAAAATGCCATTTTTGCAGAAGTGAATGCCTGCCTTATTAATAATGTTCATTAAATACTTGAGTTTTGATTCTTTTTAGGTTTTGCAGATGTTCTTCCTTTTAGCCCACAGGTTCTAAGATTACACAGCCTGACTGCACCAGGATCTTCTTCCTTCTCCAGACCAGTCTTCCTTGGCCCTCTGATTGGGGAGACACCTGTCTTTTCCCTATCGCAATGTCCTAGGCCACTCTTCTAATAGTCTCCTCTTTACTGTCTCATTATCTGTCCCCTTGTTGGTTTGTTCTACTTTTTAGAAGATACACTCAATTTTATCTTTAGAATGGAACAGGAAATTTTTGATTTAAATTTGCTTTTACAAATTTAATTTCCATGAGCCTCTATTTGTTCTATTTCATGGACATAATGCCTTCCCTTCAGTTTCTTTGACTGTTCTTCTCTTACTTGGTGACTCCATCCCCTCTGAGCTCCTTTTTCCCATTGCCTTGCATCTTTCTTTTGTATATATGTGTGTATGGGGGACGGGTGGCTGTGATCAAACTTAGGGCCTCACACACGCTAGACAGGCATTCTATCACTGAGCTATAGCCCCAGCTCAAAGTAGTGAGATTTTTAAAAAAAATTTTCGTTTTGAAACATAGTTTTCCTAGGCTGTCTAGGCTGACTGTAAGCTCCTGGTCTCAAGCCATCTTCCTGTCTCAGCCTCCTGAATAGCAGGGACTAGAGTAGCTGGGATTAGAGGTGGGCAGCTGGCTTTTATTTTTCTTATGGAAGTAATTTTCTTTAGTGGTCAGTGATTATTTCCATTTATATTCAAGCATTATTATTAAAAAAAGCACTAAGGATCTACTTAGACTCTTTCTGGATGGTAATGCCATTAGATAACAAATTGTTAGAAACAGGATACTTACATGATACTTACATATTATCTAGACTTGAGATCACTATAATAGGGTAGCCTGACAAAATTTAGGTTAACATGAATTCCATGACCAAGCTTTAAACCTAACTTCCCATTCAGAGTAAAACAGAAGATAAAGAAGTTAAAAAAATTCCTTACCAAAATACCAATGGTATTTTTCACATAACTAGAAAAATCAATTCTCTATTAATATGGAACCACACACACACACAAAAAAAAACCCAAGTAGATGAAGACATCTTGAACAAAAAGAACAAAGCAGGAGGCATTACAGAACCTGACTTTAACATTATTACAAATCAGTAGTAACCAAATGCTGACATGAAAAACAGACACACAGACTAGAAGAATAGAAAGCCCATATAAACTCATGCACCTGTAGCCAACTGATTTTTTTTTTTTTTTTTTTTTTTTGCAGTACTGGAGATTGAACTCAGGATCTTGTGCTTGTGAGGCAGGCAGCAATGTCACTGAGCTAAATCCCCAGCCCTGTAGCCAACTGATTTTAATAAAGGTATAACAAATGGTGCTGGGAAAATTGGACATCCATATGCTCAAGGAATGAAACTATACATCCCTAGCTCTCACCAGTTACAAAAATCAAAATGGATTACAGACTTAAATATAAGACGTGAAACTGTGGAACTACTAGAAAAAAACACAGGGTAAATGCTTTAGGACTCTGGAATGGGCAAAGATTTTTTTTTCATTTTTTATTTTTATTAGTACATAGGGCTGGGGATTTAGCTCAGTGGTTTTGCCGCCTGCCACGCAAGTGCAAGGACCCGAGTTCGATTCCCAGTACCCTCCCCCCAAAATTAAGATACTATATTTTTATTAGTACATGTTTGCAGGCATAATGGTTACATTCCTGTGGGGAGCTGGTATATGTACATAATACATCTTAATTCTTTTATCTTCACCTTCCCCTCTCCTCTCTCCCTCTCCTTCTATCCTTGGTCCCTCTCCCACTTGTAAAGGATCCATCTTCCTATTTTCTGTTTTCTATCTTTTATTGGAAAAGACCTAAAACCTCAAGAAACAAAAGCAAAAATAATAAATAGGATTACATCAGATTACAAAGCTTTGCATAGCAGAGGAAACAACAGAGCGAAGAGACAACTTAGAGAACGGGATATCTGCAAACTATACATCTGAAAAAGAGGTTCTTTTTCAGAATATATATGGAACTCCAAAATCTCAAGAGCAAATAAATACATAAATTAAGCTATTTCTTTAAAAAGGCAATGCCTTTAAATAAACATTTCTCAAAAGAAGACATACAAACTGCCAAAAGGTACATGAAAAATTGTTCAACATCACTAATTATCAGAGAAATACAAATCAAAATGACAAAGACATCTCATCAGGTCATCCCAGTTAGGATGGCTATTATCAAAAAGACTAAAGATAACAAGTCCTGATGAGGATGTGGAGAAAAGGAAACCCTTGCATACTGTTGGTGGGAATGTAAATCAGTAAAACTAGTAGAAAACATTCTAAAGGTTTCTCAAAAAATTAAAAATAGATTTAGTGATTTAGCTCAGTGGTTCCGCCACCTGCCTCGCAAGCCAAGGACCTGAGTTCGATCCTCAGTACCCAAAATAAATAAATAAATACATAAATAAAAATAGAACTACGATACTGTATGATCAAGCAACCCCACTACTGGGATTGTATCTAAAGGAAATGAAGTCAGGATGTTTAAGGGATGTCTACGCATTACAGCACTATTCACAATAGCCAAGAAATGGAAAAACCTAAGTGTCCATCAACTGAGAAACAGATAAAGAAAATGTGGTGCATATATACAATAGAGTACTATTCAGTTATGAAAATAAGAACAAAATCCTGTCATCTGCGGCAACACACATGAAATTTGAGATTGGTAGGTTAAGTAAAGTAAGTCAGGCACAGAAGGATGAATACCAAATGATCTCACTAAAAAAGATGAAAGCTGATCTCACAAAAGTCAAAGGTAGAAGGAAAGAGGATGCAGCGCAGTAGCAGAGTACCTGACTGGCATGTGTGAGGTCCTGGGTTCCATCTCCAGCACTTGGAATAGGAGCAGGAGCAACAGCAGATGTCAAAATCAAATTTAAGGGGAAAAAAACGAAGCTGAATATAGAATAATGGTTTAGATGCTGGGGACATGCAGACAGTTACTGGGGGGATAAGACTGAGATGGGAAAAGGCTGACCAAAGGCTAGGAGCTGAGTTATAGTTAGGAGGAAGGAGTTCTGGTGTACTACTGTACTGTATATTTCAAAAAGCTAGAAGAAAGGATTTTGCAAGTTTCTATCACAAAGAAATGAGAAATATTTGAGGAAATGAGTATTTTTAACCTAATTTAAACAGTACACAATATATATATATGTATTTAAACATCACACAGTATCCCATTAATAATATGTACAATTGTTATTTTTTTCATGTATCAGTTAAAAATAAATTTAAAAAATTCATATCTAGGGCTGGGGATTTAGCTCAGAGGTTCCGTCGCCTGCTTTGCAAGCGGAAGGTCCCGAGTTCGATCCCAGGTACCAAAAAAAAAAATTTATATCTAAAGAAATATAACAAAGGTCCTGGAATGTAGCTCTGAGGCACAGTGCCTGCCTGGCAAGCACCAGGCCCTGAGTTCGATTCCTAATACAAAAAAAGCCCCAAAATCAATGTTTTAATGTTTATACTGCTGAAGCGGAAGAGAAGCGCAGGGCAGAGGGAGGACCAGGGCGTCAGCACTGGTGGACACACACACACACACACACACACACACACGCACGCACGCACGCACGCACCGGAGACTACCTGAGCTTACTTCGTGGCTGGCCTCCCTCTTCAGCTCTGCCACACCACAAGTTCGACCAGTCTACCTGCCTGTGTCTCAGTATAACCAGTGAGTAAAGAGAGGCGCTACTTTTGAAAGATGGGGCCAGAATTTTAGAAGGTGAGGTCTCAAACATAACTTCAAATTTTTACAAAGAAACTTCTAAAAAAGGGAAATGTGATGATGAGGTAGGAAGTACATCTCTGATTCAAAGGCCACTTTTGCAAGAGTGTGTAAAAAAAGTGAAGAAGGAACTTTCTGATGCAGACAAGAAGTTGGCAAGCAGGGAAGGCGCTTTAGCAAGTGCTGATTTAGAAGAAGAAATTCTCCAAACACAAGGGCAGAAAGGGAAAAAGTCTCACTCTAGTGTTAAAGTAGCAGATAGAAAAGTACTTGATGATATAGATCACAACTCTGATGCAAGTCAAAGAAAGAAAATCCCAGTCAACCAAGAAGAAGAGAGATTAAAGAATGAGAGGACTGTGTTTGTTGGGAATTTGCCTGTCACATGTAATAAGAAGATGCTGAAGTCATTTTTTAAAGAGTATGGAGAAATAGAATCTGTACAATTTTGTTCTCTGATTCCAGCAGAGGGAACTGTATCCAAAAAGTTGGCAGCAATCAAATGTAAAATTCATCCTTATCAGAAAAACATTAATGCTTACGTTGTGTTTAAGGATGACAGTGCTGCTACAAAAGCACTGAAAAGAAATGGGGCCCTGGGTCAGGGATTTAGCTCAGTGGTTCCGCTGCCTGCTGCACAAACTCAAGGACCCAAGTTCAATTCCCGGTACCAAAAAAAAAAAAAAAAGAAAGAAATGGGGCCCTGATTGTGGATGGATTTCATATTCGGGTTGTTCTTTCATCTGAGACCTCATCTAGAGACAAGAGATCAGTGTTTGTTGGGAATCTCCCTTGCAAAGTTGAAGAAACTGCTGTGGAAGAACACTTTCTGGACTGTGGCAGTATTGTGGCAGTGAGGCTTATGAGAGATCCAGTTACAAGAGTTGGCAAAAGGTTTGGCTATGTGCTCTTTGAGAACACAGATGCTGTTCATCTTGCTCTGAAATTAAATAATTCTGAGCTAATGGGAAGAAAACTCAGAGTCATGTGCTCTGTTAATAAAAATTAAAATAACAAAGTTCAAATCCAGGTTTGAAGAATGTCAGTAAATCTAAGCAGAGACTTAATTTTGCTTCCAAAGATGTAGGACAATCTAAAAGTATATTTATTGGAGAAAAAGCTGTTCGTGTTAAGAAGAAAGGACAGAAAAAGAGTGGGTGAACTAAGAATGTGACAAAACAGAAGCTGCTTGATTTTTTTTCCCATGAGGTCTGGAAATTTAAGTGTGGCGAACTCATAGACTGAACATCACAATTTTTTTTTTTTTGGTACTGGGGATCGAACTCGGGTCCTTGTGCTTGTGCAGCAGGTGGCGAAACCACTGAGCTAAATCCCCGGCCCTGAACATCACAATTTTTGATGGATTGTATATGTGAAATGTGGGGACCTGTATAACCTTATTCCCACTGTAATCCCATCAAAGCACTTTTTTTGGTACTGGGAATCGAACTCAGGACCTTGCACTTGCGAGGCAGGCAGCGGAACCACTGAGCTAAATCCTCTGCTTGCACTTGTTTTTTTTGGTACCGGGGATCAAACTTGGGTCCCTGTGCTTACGCAGCCCCCTGCATTTGTTTTTTAACGTAGGCAGATTAGTTACTGTGGATTATGTATTACAGATGATGGTATAAGAGATTGTTTTACTAGGCCTGGTCAACATTTAGAATTTTAGTGATTATTTAACTCTGTGTTACAAGATAATTAGCACTTCAGTTATTTCAAAACATTTTTTTTGCTAGAGATGAGACATAATTTAAATAAAAACAAACAAGTCTTATTACTGATTGTACATTAAAAAATGTATACTGCTAAAACTAACCTTTTTCATGCAGTCCACATAATTATTATACTTCAGAGTTCCTGGAGGAAATTCATCAGACTTCATGGGGAAATTAGAAACAATGAGCTTTTCAAGAACACCCTTAAGGTCTTCCAGATAACCTCCAGTAAGACTGGTGAAGAATGGAAGAAGAATCACAGCTTGGCCCTGTGGTACAATGCAGATGAATAAAACCATGGTAATTGTGGCTTATAGATCCTATAGAATAAACAGAATTATTGTGTTCTAAAGACTGCAAATAAAAATACAACATGGATTCAACAAGTGATTTCAGAATAAATTCTAGGTTACCTTAAAAGCTAACCTGAATGCAATTGTGTACATCAATTTTGCCTCTAGATCAATGGAGTTGGGGTTACATTCACAGGCATAAATAAATAGGACATTGTGGACTGACTCTACATGTATATGTTTTCTCTTTCTACAAATAAAGACCCCAGAAGAAATGTACTAAGTAAGTTTTACGTGGTCAGAACATCTTGAATAACCTATAGATAATTTATAATTATCTGTTGTAGATTTCAAGCTGAGCTTAACAGGAACTAGGTGCTAATTTCTCTCTCCCTTAAATGATAAGTAAATTGTGAGACTTTCATATGGTGAAATGGGAAACACCATTAATCACACAGAACAGAAAATTCCTAAGAATTTTCCTCTTTATCAAAAAAAAACTGTGGCCTTTCATTAAGACTACATTTTAATAGTTAAAAATCTAAATAATACAGAACTTTAAAATTAGCAATTTTAAAATTAAAAGTGAATTCTTGACATCCCCTCCCATCACCAGATTTTGTTATTTTTAATACCAAAAGGATTGAATAATAATACTGGAAACCCAAAAATCCAATTTAAATAAATCATATATATGAAAAGACAAGTGTTAATTCTTTTTCTTTGGTTTTTTTTTTTTTTGGTACTGGGGATTGAACTCGGGTCCTTGCGCTTGCACAGCAGGCGGCGAAAATACTGAGCTAAATCCCCGGCCCAAGTGTTAATTCTTTTAAGTATGATAGTCTTGTGATTATAACATAAAACAAAAATGTTCTGATCTCTTGGAGAGGAATACTGAAGCACATGCTGATCAGATAAACTGAAGCCCAGGATCTCCTTAGAGAGGAGAGCTGTACAGGTAAAACAAACCCTGCCTACATTCTGATAGGTATCAAGATGGGTGATAGGTACAGGGCTATTGTGCTAGTCTATTCTTGCACATGTTTGAAATTTTCCATTAAAAAAATGACAAAATATAAAGACATGGAAAGAAAAAAGAATGTAATCCAGAAAGAGTATTTTAAAATCATTTACCTTTAAGTGTAGACCCAGCTTTGAATCAGCAAGTAGACTAGCATATGTTGCAAAGACTTCTGGGAAGGAGCTATGATTTGTATTGAAAGATACAGAAGAATCAATCTAAAAGAAGGTAAATAAAAACACAACACATTGCTATATTATGCTTCTATTTGCTTTAAAACATTTGACAAATATCTAAGTTTCAGAAATAAACTAATTTTGTTCTTGGGCTTGCTTCAACAATATTTCAACAAATTTGCCCTGAAATATATTAACTACCTACTAAAACAAAGCATGTAAAGACATAATAAAAGGACAAAGTACAAGAAATAATAAGCATAATAAATGATATAAAATAATTTGAAATGTTAAAAATCGTAAGGTAATCAGCAATTATCCTCCCAAATATTTTTTATTTATCAAACCAAAGAGCTTTTGAAAATAACTCCCATCAAATTTTTTGGTACCGGAGATAGAACTCAGAACCTTGTGCCTGCGAGGCAGGCAGCGGAACCACTGAGCTAAATCCCCAGCACCCCCATCAAAGTTTTAGTTACAAATTATGGTGTTCAAAATAAGGAATGAGAATGCTACATTTTTTTAGGTTTCTTGAAGTACCTGTAAAATTTTTGCCAGTAAGGCCAGTACTGCCATTTTATTTTCAGAAGTAGAATCCTTGGACCACCATGAATCACACTTCCTCCAGTTTTGCAGAATTGTAGACACAAGCTTCAGTCCTTGATGTTTTTGAGTGGTTCGATCCCTGAAGCTCTGATCTAACATACCATTCAAAATGGTACTCACCTAAAATAATTTTGCAGTGACTGAATGAAAATTCTCAATATTGAAAATGACAGACAAAAAATAAAATTTACCTCAAAGTTATGAAGATAAAGAGCTATTTCTACAATAGATGCTTATCTACTTCAAAACTCTTTTAATATGAAAATAGCACAATACTGCATAAATCTGCTTATAGAAAGCAGACAATGGCCTTATTGATGTCATCATGCCTATCCTGCCACTTCTTTTTTTTTTTTTTTTGGTACCAGGGATCAAACTCAGGACCTTGCACTTGCGAGGCAGGAAGGCAAACCACTGAGCTAAACCCCCAGCCCATATCCTGCCACTCCTGCTGCTCTTAGTTTGGGGCCTTCTCAATTTCTCAATGTAACTCCACTCAAAAGATGAACAAACCTTGTTTTGTCATCACCACCACTATGTGCGCACACACATGTGCACACACACACAGTTTCCTACCCCACTTCTCCATTCCAACAGTGACATTCAAATTTTGGTTAGATCCACTAATCTTGTCATTTTTCACAGGTGCTCTAGTAGTATACTACTGATATTTTTCCTTTCTTGCATACTTTGCTCTCCCTAAAGTTAATTCCTGTTGGCTTTTTTGCTGTTTTCAAAGAGCCTTTCCTTAATTCATTATCACAAGCTCTCAAATTAAACTGCTCCAAATTGTGTTGGGCCATCAGGAAGTCAATCTGCTTCATATCTCCCTCAAGACCAGCGCACGGCCTTGATACCCTGTCCCCTCCTCTGCATAACCTTGACTTCCTGCACTAAACACTTTCCTATTTCTTGGCTCACCGCATCTTTACTTTCTTTTAGGCCTGCTGAGACAGTCTGATATCCTCCAAGGGGATAAGTACCTAGTTGACAGAATTCCTGAAGCAAATTGCAGGACAAGGGCTAAGAGCCTCTAGGGGTAGAATTTAGGTAGACTTTCATCTAATTTCTTTGTTTTCATGATCCTTACAGTCAACTAAGCCCAGTCATTGGTTCAGAGATAGCCCCACCCATTGAAGAAAATCATCATCTTCAGTTTTCTGAGGTGAGGAGGGCCAGAAGGCTGATTTTGTATCAGGCCTCCTTCCTATTCCTTTCTTTCACTCCCTGTTTGGCACACTGGCCACCTACTCTTCCTGCTCCTGTCACAGCGAGGCTCTGGGACATGAAGTTCTGCCACTCTTGTCCTGCTTTACAGCTTTGTCACTCTGGAAGTCTTTCCTCAGTATCCTTTAAGACTTGGTTGTTGTCATTGTTGTTTTTAACCCTATTCTGTCATTTTACAGGGATGTGGGGAAAGGAGCAGAGGTAAATTCATATTTTTAAATTTTAATGTAATACAAGTAGATATTATAAGAAAATATAAAAACAGTTCTATGGGGCCGGGGATTTAGCTCAGTGGTTCAGCCACCTGCCTTGCAAATGCAAGGATCCGAGTTCGATCTCCGGTACCAAAGAAACAAAACAAAACAAAAAGAAACAGTTCTATGGAAAAATAATTTTTCATAACAAAAATAAATAGAGAATAACAATGGTAAGTACACTGTGTATCATGATCTTAAAAAATATATTTTCTCCTGAGTTCAATTTCTGGTACAAAAAAAAAATATATATATATATATATACATATATATATGTGTATATATATATATATAATCAACTGCTAACCTATCTCTCAACTCATTTCTTAATAATACTATGGTTTTTTGGGGTATAAAACATTTTGATTACTAACAAAGTATCTCATACTTGGTATAATTTTGAACAATTTCTTCTTATTCCACAATATTCATTATATATTTTGGTCCTTATACTTTCAGTTATACTAGAGAGACAATGCGATATTTACACGTGTGTGTCCAATTTGTTTCACTTATGTGTATGGCCTCTAGGTGCATCCATTTACCTAGAAATGTCTCAAGTTTATCCTTCTTGTGGCTGAATAGTTCTCCATTATATAAAAAAACCCACATCTTTTTTATCCATTCATTGGTTGGTAGGCATTTGGGTTATTTCCAAGATTTAGCTCTTATAAACTGTGCCACTATAAACACGGGAGCACATATATCGCTGTGGTATGATGCTTTTAATTCTTTTGGGAAGACACCCAGAAGGGGAATAGCTGGGTCAAACAGGATCTCTAATCCTAGTTTTTTGAGGAATCTCTACACTGATTTCCACAGCGGTTCCACCAGTCTACACTCCCAACAACAGTGGAAAAGGGTTCTTTTTTCTCCTTAGCCCTGGCTGCATTTGTTATTAGTTGATTTCTTTTTTTTTCTTCATTAAGTTTATTGGTACATTTTAGGTATACAATATAGTTACATTCATCACTTGGAATTTGTACCTACATGATGTATCTTGGTTCTTATTTTTTCCCCATTCCCCTGCCCTCCCTTCAACCCCTCCACCCCTCCCTATTTACAGAGACTTTGTTTCCATTTTTTCCTTTTCTCCTATTTTTTCCCTTTCCCCTCGCCCTCCCTCTCCCACTTCTCCTACACCTTTAGACCTTTAGAAATTCTTTCTAGAGATGGAATCTCAGCATTGTTTTAATTTGCATCTCTCGAATAACCAGTGACAGTGAACATTTTTTGTTTATTTAGATTTAGCGTTTCTGTTTTAATATTTAGATCTTTGATCCATTTTTATTTTAGTTTAGTGCTTGGTGAGAGACATGGGTCTAGTTTTAGGGTTTGGCATGTAGAAAGCCAATTTTTCTAGCACCATTTATTAAAGAGGCTGTATTTCTTCCAGTGAAGGTATTGGCCCTTTTGTTAAAGACAAGATAGCTGAGTTTGGTGTTGTTTCTGCATCTTCTAATCTGTTCCATTAATTCTCAGGTCTGTTCTTTTGCCAGTACCATGCTGTTTTTAATCACTGTAGCTCTGTAGTACAATTTCAAGTCAGGGATTGTGATGGTCCCTGCCTGCCTTTGTTGCCCAGAACTGTTTTTGCTATTCTAGGTCTCTTCTGATTCCAAATGAATTTTAGGAATTTTTCTAGTTCTGTGTGGTGTGCTAATGGCATTTTGATTGGGATTGCATTAAATCTGTATAACAATTTTGGGAGTATGGCCATTTTTACTACGTTGGTTCTTCCTACCCATGAGCAAAGGATCAACTTTAGAAATGATCCCTGAAAGTATAGCCTTAATATGCATATGTTTTTACCCATTATGCTCACAGCTGAACAATAAGCTCAAAGTGTTAAACTTTCTGAATGTGTGTATCTAGTACAATCTTTTTTCTAACTTAAAAAATACAAATTTCTGGTACAATCTATCACAAAATACTTCCTGACAAAAAATAAGCACTGTTTGGAATAAAAGCTCAACTTAGTAAGAAATTACATGATTTCTTGTCAAAAGTGAACCTGTGAGGTAGTGCCTTTTAAAATTAGGCCTTGAGATTTTGGGAGCATAAAGGAATGGAAAAAAATAACCAATGTTTCAATATCCTTAACATTCATTAACAAGTGTGAAAGACTGTTTTGTTTTAGTAGATTTTGTTTTCAAGAATTAACCTTCCAGGAAGAAATCTTGTTTTATTTTCAGGAAATACTTCAGCGATATGGCAATTCTTTTATAAGCATTATTTACAAAAACATTTGGCTCAAGAAAAATTTCCTTACCATTTTGGGATTATCCATTGATGATTTCATGAGTTCCGATACAACAAGATCTAGATTTTTCAGCAGCTCAGCATTAATTGTTTCTGAGAACAAGCTATAGAAATACTCTCCATGGGAGAAGCTGATGATGCTTCTCCGTGAGCTATGTGAGGACGGCGTGGACAGCTGTGCCGCATTCAGGAGCAGACTCACCAGGCGCTCACACTGTGAGGAAGAGCGGAGAAAACCATGGCAGGGGCCTGTCTTTACATGTTACAGAAAGACCCTGGGGTAGCTGAAAATGGCATAGTAAAGTCTAAAGGGACCCTGATACTAAAGACTAGATTCAAGTTTAAGTTATGCTTACATACTTCAAACTGACTTTCGTTTTCTAGGTTTCATTTTTGGGACAAAAGTCTTCCCTGAATGATGCTGCTTCCCAATTTCGAGCAAATCTTGCTGTTGCTTGGAGGGTACTAGTAAGCACAAGTATTTTCAGACAATTTAAATGTAGTTGCTTACATCAAGTAGAAAAAGGGAGAAAGGAGAGCTTCCTAGAGTGAGAAAAAGGACAAGGGAAGATAGAATGGAGCAATGTACACAGGTGGCTGGATATCTTAGCTACAGCAGACTACTCAGTTCAAAGAACCTAATGACTTTTATTGTTGTTCCTCAGGAGCCTCTGGCATTATCCTCCATGGCCATCCTAAGCCATCCATCCCAGGAACCATCAGGGACAGCCTAGGAAGAGGCCATATGTCAATACAGATCAATGTTTTCTGCTTAATGTCCTTTTGGATTTAAAGTGGGAAAGACAAAACTTCAACTTAAGAATGTCTTTCTATTTCTTTTATGAAAAAAAAAAAAAAAGGCGGGTTGAAAAATAGCCAGGCATTGTGGCATATACTGATACTCTGGAGGGATGATAACAAGTTTAAATCTAGACTGGGCAACTTAGTGACTTGGTGAAACCCTGTCTCAAAATTAAACAGAAAAGGGCTAAGGATGTAGCTTTGTGTGAAGGCCCTGGGTTTTATCCCCAGAACTAAAAGTAAGCATGCAAGCAAGCAAGCAAGAAAGAAAGGGAAAACAGTCTTTTAGAAAGAAAGTCATCCCATGTAAATAAATTATAATGCATATCCACTAAGACCTTACCTAACTAAAGTCTATTTCTAGACACATAATACAACTGAGTCCATGCTTAGGATAGCACAGCATACACCTGTTTTTCCTACCAGTCCTCCAAAAGCAAAGGCCAGCTCTAGAAGTCCACTGGCCAGACGCTTACAGCTGGGATCCAGCGACAGCAGACACTGCCTTTCCTCTCCTGGTGCAATGCCTTCATAAACCAGGGAGAGAAGTCTCATGCCGATGGAGTGATGCATTGCTGTAGACTAAAACAAAGTCAACATGAAATGTCTAATGAGAGAAGATATTTAACCAAAACAATTTCATATCTCTCATAAATTAAAAATCCATTTAGCTAAGTTGAACAATTGCATTCCAACTTTTAGAACAATTTTTCATTTATATTGTTCACCATGTAGGCACAACTGGTTCCTGAAGTTTTTCATAAGGCTGTTCTAGAAATTTTCAATTGCCCTTTATTTCACTTTTATTTTATATTTACTTTCAAATTTATATTCCATATAATACCTACATGTCTAGCACAAATACTTCTGTAAGTCCTATTTCAACATGCTCTGTACATAAAAGATATTTAAAAAAGAATGTAAACATATAGACCATTTAGAATACTAAAGCTAACAGAAAGGTAAACAAATTGGTTACGGTTACCTGAGATGATGATAGATCATGTAAGAAGCCAGCTCTGTGAAGCTGTTTACAGGCTGATACAACAGATGCCACCTTGGTCCTCTCCAGGTGGGTATCAGGGCCATACAAGTCAACAGCACAGAGCTCCTCAACACTGGCCACGTATGAAAGACAGAAAGAAAACCAAGTGAATTCTAATCTTGTTATTAGGATACACTGTGGGCATTCTTATAAATTCAATGATTATATGGCACTCAAATTCATTATTAACACCACCCTGGAAAGCAAGCAATACCAGACAAGGCTTACCTGCACCAATCTAGCTATGGAAACCAAACATAGTGTTAACCACATGTGCCGATCACTTTAGGTGCAGGGAAGGCATTTTCTAAATACACAATTTCCAGACAAGGGATGGTATCATTTGCTCCATACTACCCACTGATGCAACCCTTCAGTGAGGGAGTGGGAACTATAGCAGCCATGCATGTGGCTGGTAGGAGTACTGTGATACACAAGGACCCAAAATTTCACAAGACAACACTAACCGAGCATGACTTGAGTGCCCACCTCTGTGCTGTTAAATTTTCTCTCAGGTGAGTTTCCAGGATGTCTTTGTACGGGGACTTCTTAAGTGCTTTCATTAGGTTCACACAAACACTGGGAAGGTGGTCCATAACCTGGACATCACCAACATTGAAACCTATGTTCACAGGCTCACACACGGTTTTCACCAAGAGTTTCATAAGGTTTGTGTTACACAAATCCTTCTCCAGGAGCTGTGAAAGATGGTATGAATAAAAATACTTCCATCAGCCAGCAGCTATATGTTCATTATGGTGTGAGGTCTATGAGGTTGGGAATTTTTACATGACTAGGGATGAGATTAATAAGCTTTCTCTGTAAGGGACTGGAGAGTAAACACGTTTGGCTTTGTGAGCCATACAGCCTCAGCTGCAACTCCTTACCCCATCCTAATGTGAAAGCAGCACGGACAACAGAAGGACACAGTGGCACAGCCGTGTTCTGGTGAAACTTTATGACAGCAGGGAGCAAGTGGGGTTTTGCCTACAAACCAGTTTTTCAGTCCCTGTATTAAGGCATTGCTATATCTCAAGGGCCTAGAGCATAGCCTGGCATCCAGCAGACTCTTAGTATATTCCCTGGATGGATTGACTCAAGCTTATTTATACAGTAAGCCTCACAGATACATTTACAAATATTTACTAAGGTGTTCTTCCTAAAGCAGACCATGATATCAAACATACCATTCAATAAAATATTTAAAAAGACTATTTTATTTACAAAATAAAAATCTGAAGGGCATGCAATTTTATTTTGTTATAAGTTGAGTATCCTTTATCTGAAATACTTGGGACTAGAAGTATTTCAGGTTTCATAGGCTACCAATTAAGCATCCCTAATCTGAATATCTGAAATCCAAAATATTCCAAATCTGAAACATTTTGAATACATTAAGCTCTAACAGTTTCAGATTTTTGAGCATTCTGGGTTTTCAGACTAAGGATGCTTAACATGCATTTTCAAGAACAGACTGTATAAGAACAGTTACTAACAATGTATTCTATGCTTGAAAATTGCTATGAGAGTAGATTTTAAAACTCTCTTACTATAAAATGGTACATATATGAAGTAATAGTTATATTAATTTACTGGACTGCCATTGTACTATGTATTCGTATATCAAAATATGTTGTACACTACAAATATAAACAATTTTTATTTTTCAATTGAAATAAGAATAGATAACTCTTCTGGTAACAGAAACTTATAAGTTTCATTGGAATGAGCCAAAGGCACTTCTGACAGAACTTTTCAAAGCATTTTTCTAGTATGAAATACTGACCTCAAATTAAGAGAGCAGCAAGAGACCTTACCTTCCATCCTTCTGGGGAGGTGTTGAGCACGGTTGTAATAAATTCCATAATCCGGACCACAACTGTGCATTTACTGTAGTTGTACCTTTCCTCCTCATGTGGGCTGGGTTGGCTACCTGTTGCCCCAGTGCCAAAGCACTTTTCTGCTGCTGTAGTATCATTCATAGCAATGCTTTCTAAAAAGAAGGCCACTGATTTCCAAAGGGAAGAATGTGCTCTGGTACCTAGAAATAATTACACTGAAATATTAATACATGCTTCTTTCTAACGCCACTAAAACTAACGTTAAGATTCCTTCTTTAAATTTAGGTATGATATATTTTCAATCAAAACTCAAAAGTTTTTCGAAAGAAAATATAATTTAAATAAAAACAGAAAAAAATAGCAGCTATTTATACTTTGGGTTTTCCATAAAAGAGAAATCATGTTATATTTACACTTGTATGTCTGATTTATTTCACTTAACATTATGGTCTCAAGGTATCCATTTTCCTATGAGTGCCTCAAATTTATCCTTTTTTATGACAGAAGTTCTAGAGATGAAGGAAAGGGGGAAGGAGGGAGAGAAACGGGAAGTAAAAAGAATTAAGATGTGTTATGTACATGTTCCAATTCCCCACAATAAATGTAATCACTATGTACTGCAAACATGTACTAATACAAAAATCTTTAAAAGAGCACCTAATTCTCGCTTCAATTTTTTTTTGGAGACAGGTCTTGCTGATAAAATGAAGTAATGATACATTGATGTGTTTATACTACTTCATATGAAGTTATATAGAGAGAAAATACCACCAGAAAAATATATTTTTAACACTGTGGGCCGGGGATTTAGCTCAGTAGTTCCACTGCCTGCCTGGCCACACGCAAGGTCCTGAGTTCGATCCCCAGTACCAAAAAAAAAAAAAAGCAAAACACTGTCATACATATTCTAAATACCCCTCCCCTTTCTTTCTTTTTTATTTTTTGGTACCAGGGATTGAACTCAGGACCTTGCGCTTGTGAGGCAGGTTGGAGCCATTAAGCTAAATCCCCAGCTCCCTTTTCATTTTTTTGAGGCAGCATCTTGGTAATGTTCCAGGATGGCCTCAATCTTGCAGTGATCCTCCTGCCTCAGCCTTCCAGTGCTGAGAATACAGGCATGTGCCACTGCACCCAGCTCACTTCAGTTTTCAAAATCACAATCCCAAAATACAATCCAAACAGAATCCAACTTTAAGCTAATATGATAACAATACATCTAAACAAGGTTAGGACTTGATATTCAAACAGTAATTGTAAGAATATAAATTAATATAACTATTTAAAAGGGCAAACTGGCAATTTACACCAAAATCTTTGAAAAATATGCATGCCAATCTCTATGAAATATTTTTACATAACTATGCTTTGATCCACTGAAATTTTAATCTAATAAAATAATGGCAAAGTTGCAAAAACATGTTTGTAAGAATTTTCATTTTATCATCCTTTTTATTAACAAAAAAACCAAAAACAACTTATATGTCACTTCTTGTTAGGGTTTCTATCTAGATGTCCCCCAAAGCCTCATGTGCTCATAGGTAAGGCTTTTGGAAGGTGACTGGATCGTGGGGGTGAAATTCATCTGTGGATTGGAGCACTGAGAGTTTATAGCTATGATTTGGAAGGTAAAGCCTGGTTGGAGGAGGTGGGCCATGGGGGCTGTCTCCTGGAAGGATCTGTCTCCCTCCCACCTCCCTAGACCTCTAGCTCTCTCTCTGCTTCCTGATGCCATGCCATGATCTCTCTCTCCTCTGCCATGCCATCATGCTGCCTTGCCATGGAGCCAGCCTACTATAGACTGTGGGCCAAAATAAACCTTTTCCCCTTTAAGTTGTGGGTACTGGGCATTGTATCTCAGCTACGAGAAAGTAATTAAATACCTCTTATGAATCTCAATGTAATTTATTACCCCAGAGTGTAAAGACTTTCAGAGTCCTAGGCAAAGGGACAATATACACATCTAAGTGATAAGCAACGGTAATGACTAAGAAATCCTCTTACAAGTCTAAAGCCTTCCAATTCTTTGTTTTCAACAAAATTTAAAGAAAGTTAAACAACTTTTCAATGGAGAACATAAAGTAATTTTAATGACAGATCACTATATAGTCATTCAAAGAACAGAGAGGCCATATATTAAAAATTACATTCTCAAACATTCAAAGTCCTTCAATCCAACATATTATCAGACTGTAAGTCATGTACATTCCAACCACAGATCTGTTAAATGTGAAAAAATATGCATTTTTAGAATTATTCAAAGATAGCATTTATTTACATGAAGGAGGTTTTTCCTAGGACAGCCATGTACTGCATGACAACAATTTGGTCAGCAACATAATGCATAATGATGATTGCCCCATAAAATTAAATCAACTAGTGATGAGGTGGTTGTCTTTGTGTAAATATAGTCTATCTTTGCACAAAGACAAAATTGCTTAATTACTCATTTCTCAGGACACATCTCCATCATTAAGCAACATATGACTGGATAAACAAAAGTGGAATTCTACTAAAATTCCTTTCTTGTTGATGTATATTAGTATTATAGAAAAATGAGGTTCATGATAGTACACTGGCATATACACATAAATATTTTGGTTATTTTCATCCCAGTTGCCCTATTCCCTTTTCTCTTTCCTCCCTCAATGCCCCTCCCCATCACTACAAGACTACCATCTTGGTTCCTATCCTTTTTGTATTATTTTTGTATTTATTTTTAGATTTCTTATATAAGACAAAACACATACTTTTTTTTGGGTACCAGGGATCGAACACAGGACCTTGCACTTTTGAGGCAGGGACAGTGCCACTGAGCTAAATCCCCGGCCCAAAAATACACTTTTTAACTTTCTTTTTTGTTGTTGTTTTTTGAGACAGGGTCTCGCTATGTACTTCAGGCTGGTCTTGAACTCAATATGTAGCCCAGGCTGGCCTCAAACTCATGACAATCCTCCTGCCTCAGCCATCCAAATGCTGGGTTTACAGGCATGTGCTACCTCGCCTGGCAATTTTTAACTTTCTTTTTCTTTGTTTAAATTGTATTTACTTAGAAGTATTCACAATGTCAGCAAAACAACTGCAACTTTGTTTTGCAATTACATAGTATTCAGTTAACAAGAATTATTTCATATAAGCTGCATCAGAAACAAACGAAGATGAAAAACTACCATTCTTATACATAACTAATTTGTGCTGTGCATCAGAAAGAACCTACTTTAAATTTCCTTGTCAATGTACAACCCCCATACTGTACCAGGCAAGGTTAGTGGCCACTGAAAATACCACTGGGACAGAGCTATCTAAAGACATGTTCGGTAGTATGTTAACTATACAAAAAAAGACACGGTACAGTTTAAAAACAAATTTTACACAGCCTTACATTTCAATTTTTTCTTGAAAAGGAATGAGCTGTTTACAAGGGGGTTAAATACTTTATAGACAAAAAAACTGTGCTGGAGCTAACTTACTCATCATCATCATCTTCCTCATCTTCATATTCCTTCTTTTTCTACCCTTGACAACTTCCTGGTTTTTTTTGTTATATCAGGTTTTCCTTTAGCTTATTAGGCAGTGATACCCTTTTCATACTTTTCCTTCAGCTTGGCAGCCTTCTTCTCATAAAGCTGCTTCTCATCTGTGGCAGTATTATTCCACATTTCTCCCAGTTTCTTTGCAACATCACTAGTGGAGAGGCCAGGATGTTCTTGATTTTTGAGCAATATTTGGAACAGAACAAGAAGGTCAAAGGAGGCCTCTTGGCTGCATTAGGATCCTTGAACTTCTTTTTTTGTTTCCCCTTTAGGAGGGATACAGGTTTTCATTTCTCTTTCATAATGGGCCTTGTCTGTCTTTGCCATGTCTTCAAATTTTCCTTTCTCTTGTAGCAGACATGGTCTTCCATCCTTCTGAGCACTTCTTAGAAAACTCTGAGAAATTAACAGAAGCATCTAGGTGCTTTCTGTGCTCCGCTTGGCAAGTTTGCACAAAGAAGGGATACAATGACTGCCTCTTGGCTGCTTAGGATCTCCTTTGCCCACGTTTCCTTGTTTTCCTCAGTGAAGCACAGAGCCCTTGTCCCAGCGCTGTCTCTATGGAGCTCAATGTATTGCCAATTTTTAACTTTCTGAGACTGGCTAATTTCACTTAACATTGTGCTCTCCAGTTGCATCCATTTTCTTGCAAATGACATGATTTCATTTGTCTTTATGGCTATATTCTATTGTGTATATATACCATGTTTTTTTTATCCATTCATCTATTGATGGGCATGTAGGCTGTTCCCATACCTTGTGAATTGTACCACTATAAATAGGAGTATGTGTATATCACTGTCAAGGTTTAGATCAAGAATGTCAACCAGAGGCCTCATGTGGTGAGAGGTGGGGCTTTTGGAAGGTGATTGGATCATGCGAGCTCTGTACTCAACAGTGGATTATCCATTAATAAGGTCAGCAGCTGAGTTTGTTAGGATGTAGGGCCTAGTTAGATGTGGGTCACTGGGGGTGAGACTTGGAAAAGCATATCTCCCTCTCTGGCTCCTCCCTTCTGTTTCCTAATCACCATGACATGAACAGCTTTCCTCTATAATTCCCCCCTGCCATGCAGCCAGCCAACCGTGGACTATAACTGTGATCCAAAATAAACCTCTCCTCCTTTAAGTTGTGGCTGAAGGGCATTTTGTCCCAGTGATAAAAAAAAAAAGTATCCAAGATAATTACTGTAATATGCTCTTTAATTCCTTTAGGAATATACCAAGGAGTGGTATAGCTGGATCAAATTGTGTATCTATTTTTAGTTCTTCGAGGAATCTTCATACTGATTTCCATAGTGGTTGTATAGTTTATATTGCACAGAGTAGGTGGAGTCCTTTTCCATCCACACCAGTATTTTTTTTGTTTTGTTTTATATTCTTGATGACAGTTACTCTGACTGCAGTGAGATGGAATGTCACTGTAGCTTTTATTTGTATTTCCCTAATCTCTAAATATGGGGGGGGTGTTTATATACTTATTGGACGCTTATACATCATCTTCTGAGATGTGTCTATTTAATTCACTTCCCCAAACATTCAGCAGTAAATCCACTGGGTCCTGTGGTTTTCTTTGTTGGGAGAGTTATTATATTTATCTTTTTGCTTGTTATTGACCTGTTTAGACGTTTTTACATCTTGGTTCACTTCTAGTAGGTCATGTTCCTATGA